GACAGGAGGCTGCCGATGCGCACGGTGGGGTCTCGCCTGGGAGCCCGGCAGCGGGAGGCTGCGACGCGAGCACCAGGCTGGGGGGACTGATGCGATTTCATTCCCCGGGTCGCAGGCAGGGCCCAGGACCACAACACTGCCGGGCCACCCCTGCTCATTCCAGCTGGAAAACCGCTTCCACTGGGCCCTACTGGGCTGGGCTGCTGCCACAGCCCAAAAGAACAGCCAGCTCCTGCCCCGGGAGCTGCGTGTGCAGCCAAGCCCCAGCATCAGGAGGTCTGATTAGAGACCAGCTAATGATAGCTTGCAGTTGGGCAACGTCTTTCCAGTATAGGGTGTTTACACGACATCCGTGTCCCACATAAGTGTCGCTTGCTCCGGGGCTTGACACAACACTCCGCTTTGTCCGAGAGCGAGTGCCACCCGAGCAGGCAGCACAACCAGCCCATCGCCCCCGGGAGGTTTCGGCTGCATCGGTGGAGCCAGGCAGGGGAGGGCAGAGGAGCTGCTCTCTGGGGCTGGAGCTGCAAGGTGGACCAGAGCCACTGGCTGTAGAAGAGCCTGAAGCCATGGGCAGGGTCCCCAAAAAGGCAAGGGCAAGTCTGTAACTGCTGGGATAAACCTCTCCCCCATCGTGATCCATCTACAACAGCATCAATCCAATATTTAAATGGATCAAAAGCAATGACTCAGAGACTTTTAGACCAGTTAGGTAAACAGCCAGGCAATTAAGCTGTGACCCTGATAATGAATTAAACATATCATTAACGTCAGTCACTGTAGTTTACGGGAGATGGGTGTTCCCAAAGAAATGGTTTGGGTTTTGTTTTTTACAAGACTGTGGCCTCATCGCCACACAATGTCGTAGATGCTGGAAGTTTAAAGGGCTCCCAGAAAAGACCAGGTGACAGCACCCAAGACATCCCTCAAAGATTGCTACACAGACCCAAAATGCGTCCAGCTCATGAAATCCATTGAGCTGAAAATAGCCAGACGTTGACATAGAAACTGGAGAAATATCACATACACTGCCCCATTCTTCATCCTTCCCGTGATGTCCACTTACGGCTCAAGATGGAAACAAGACTCTGGACTACACAGACCCTTGGCCTGACTCTGCACGGCTGCTCTGATGTCTGCTCCAGAGGACTGAAACAGTTCAGACCGCGTCTTGGTTAAGGGTGTAGCTTTTTTATGGGTGAGAGGACGGGGGTACCCACCAGATTGACTGTGACTGGTCACACTAATTGCAAAGTAAATGCCTGAATGGGAGAGACCACTGCAAGCAGCCACTTACAGCAGGCTCCCTCAGGTACCTGCTCTTAGTCCCTCGTTACTGTCTGATCTTTATTTTTATTTATATATATTTATATATAAAATTTTATCTACCATTGTCCTCCATAACAGTTAGCTTATAACAAAGCCAGACCATTCATGACTTCCAGCAGCACAGGAGCTAGAAGCTCCCAGCGAAAACACTTTCCCCACAAAGTGTGATTAACCCACAGGCCTTGTTGCCG